GCCGGGAGATATGCAACGCCAACACGCCGCACCCCACTGACGGTTTACTGGAATCCACACCCTCGGGACAGTCAAGACCGGAGAGCGCACGGCCTGTATCGACCCGACCGATAGAAAGACCAGTAGAAAGACCTGTCGCTAGTAGACCGGTCTCGTCAAGACCTACAGAGAGTAGACCGTCTATTAGACCGGAGGACACGCCGGTCACCAGGCCAGTCCACGGCACTCCATCCAACTCTGGTCCAGTGTACGTACCCACAGCCAACCCACCGATAGACCAGATCAATGTCAACCCATTTGTTATGTGAGTCCATTTTGATCATCTTGGTCTTCATTTCTTAGTCTTTTACATAAAAGTAACTATTAATTATTACATTTTGTTTTGCATAACTATGCGTTTTAACTTGACATACGTGACACTTATAGCTTCGAATTACATTTAGATATTTTTTCGTCTATCATAGCAGAACTTTGCATGACAGCATTGTTATCTTCTCTATTTCCTTCATATTAAATCAAGTAACTAGTCTAGATTCTTCTAGAGTGATTCTTTCTTCGCTTTCTATTAGTTTATGAACAGTTTCATGTAGTTGTATGGTATGTCACGGCGTGCAGCGGGGAGGGGGGCAGGGGGCAGGCGGGCTCCAGGCCGAACTCAGTGTTCGGACTGACCACCTCCTCCTATACCACCACTACCACTGACAGCGCGGAGTTCGACGACTTTGATACTGTAAAGTAAGTTTGTAACATCCATTCCATCAGCAAACTTGCTTAAGATTCTTCTACTTTACCCATTATTCTGCATAACATTACTCGCTTGTCTGTCGCCGTAAGAGCGTGTACACAAATAAAACCAAACTATCAAAAGATTTTTAGTCGTGAAACTAAACAGTTGTATTAGCTGCGAAACAACCGACAATCGCACAACACTTGTGCGATAGTTTAGTCAAATGTGTGCGCACGCTCCAATCTCGTAAAATGTTCTCGTCTATAATATATAAAGTCGTGAAATAACATCTATTCTGGACTTCAAATTAAATTATACTAGCTGTTCCCGTGCGGCTTCATCCGCATGAAAATATGAAAATTTTATTTCATTGTTCACATTTTATCAAATTATCAATAGCAAATGTCAAAATGACATGACATGATGACAAACCATGGCAACCTTGATTCCTTGATGTTGGCAGCAACTTATGGTCTCTTTCTCACATTAGGGTTTTTATCCAAAATATTTACCCCCTAAGTTTAATGGCGTGATAATATATAGCCTAAATTTGACGTAAGTGTAGGGCTTTTTATTAAAAAAAAAAAAGGATTATTCAAAAATATGTTGTAATTGCTGACATCTTAGACAACAAAGTGTGTGTTTATTTTTATTATAATAAGTATAGATAAAGATAAAAAAGCACTCGTATCATGAGTTATGAATAAATAAAATATGTAAATAGGAGTCACTATTTACGTGTCTAGGCAAATTGTCAAAGGTCGGTTTACGATTTATCGGTGACTTATTCCATAGGAAGCCAGACCCGAGCGAGTACTTCGGCGGAGGTCTGCAGACCATCATAGTGCCCAGCAATTCTAATGATGGCTACAACAATAATAACAATAACAATAACAACAACAATCACAGCCCAAAGGTAACGCTTTTATTTCTAACAAATTACTATTACGCCCACCTTTGACTAAACTATCGCACAACGGTTCAGTCTCGCAGTGTTTCCTATGAGCTTATAACTTGATTTTTAGTTGTGCAACTAAACAGTTGAGGCTGCGAAATAATCGACAATCGCACAACAATCGTGCGATAGTTTGACAAAGGTCTTATTTAAGATATTTACGGCCGAATACAAAAACGACATTTACGTATTAACGTTTTAGATGATAAGACCATTTTTATACTTAAATTTTCATTAAAGGTTTTTACGTCTTTAATAAGTGGTTTTACAAGTATTCCAGCAGTGGAAACTCATTTTAAAACATGTCTCTGCCTGCCCATCTAATCACAATTACTTCATTACTTTTGATTAACAGATCTCTTTGAAGTATAGATATTTTGATTAAAAAAAAGTAAACCTGTTCAATCTGGGAATGAATAAATTTTTTTACCTATTTGGGATAAATGTTTTACTAGTTTTCTTATAAATGTCAAATTTTAATAATTCTAGTCCGATATTATTTGATCTGTATGACCTCGACCTTTTACGTTTTTTAACATAACCTTAAATAAAAAAAATATAGGAAAAATTAACTCGACAGAAATAATACCCAAATAAAACATAACAACGCATTTAAAACAATCTCTCATTTTGAATATCTATTGACAAGCTTTAAAATATAACGATTAATTTAATTTTTTCCTAAAATACAAAACCATAAAAATTATAAGTAAAATAGAGTAAAATGGTATGTAACATTAACAAATTAAGCGTTACTTTCCTTTAAGCATTTTACACAAAATAAACAATTTAAAACACTTAAAGAAACACACAAAATAATTGATTCAAAACCGGGCTCCGGTAAAGCCCCGTCTATCAGAATACATTGTATCTGCGATTTTATCCAATCCGGTTTACATTCCGAGAACTTGCTACGTCATAACGAGACATTCTAGTTATGCGAATGTGCGTGGTTTCTTTCTTTTTTAAATTAAAACTTTATCTGGGTTTTATAATGATTATTCATTAATCACTACCGACGTAAAAGTGTAAATATCTGCGTCACTCGATATTATTGCAATTGCAAATAACCATTTATACTTCATTAATAAGTAAATACTTCAAGAAGCAAGTCTACAATTTCCTCAATGCCGGCACCGTATCTGTAGTTCCTCTAGTGTTGAATGTCCATGGGTGTCTTTAGCAACCTCGGTGTCCTCACCGCTAGTTTGCTCCCTTTTCTTAAAAAATTGGGAATTACAGTATGCAGTTCCTCTAGTTATGCAGAAGTATATGGTTGTCAATCACTGCTCGTTTGCTCATTAAAAAAACCAGGTTATTGTCATCTTGGATGAATTACTATGCGATAATTTCTAAAACAAACAATTGTAGTAATTTAAAATTTAACGTCCAGCTTACACTTGGCCAGTACAGTTGGACAGTTGCAACGGCCAGTCATAGATTGTATAGAGTCACTGGCGCCAGTTACCGTTCACACCGAGCCAGTTGACATTGTAGCTTTTTACCGGTACGGACTTAATTTTACTGGCGTAGTGTGAACTTGTTTATAACAATTTTTTTGTAAACACCATTCGCGATTTTTTTCTGATGTTTAAAACCGCTTTGTAACTAATTAGTTTCATTGCCGATTTTTTAAATGTTGAATGTATAACAGAAGTCGTTAATTCTGATTCCCTTGTTTTCAGAGTCGTTGCGGTAAGGTAACGTTGAACAAACCCAACCCCCTGGTGGTGAACGGGAAGCCGACCCTCGAAGGACAATGGCCCTGGCAGATAGCTCTGTATCAAACACAGGTAAGGCTAATGTTAGTACTTTAGAGTAAACTTAGTTATTTTGGATACCATAATAACCGTGAAGCTGCCGAAAATCTAGTACCCACATAACATTGGTCATCTTTTTTACATTTAACCGAACTAAGGAACACAATAGCAACAACAAACCAGACTAAATTTAAAGGACTAATACTTGTACTCTGTAATCTATACTAAATATTATAAAGAGGAAAGATTTGTATTTTTGTATGTATTAAAATAACTCAAAATCCACTGGGCCGATTACGAAAATTCTTGGACCATTATAAAACTACGTAACAACTACGTAACAGTCTACTTTTTGTTTTTATTTAATCCGAAGAAGTCGCGAGCACCAACCAGTTACAGCATATTTCGATATTAACATTTGCAGACAGTAGATAGCAAGTATATCTGCGGCGGCACGCTAGTGACGCATTTACATGTTATCACGGCAGCGCACTGCGTCACACGCAAGAGTTCCAACCGCGTTGTCAACAAGAACACACTCACCATATACCTCGGCAAGCACAATCTGCGGACATCTGTGCGCGGCGTGAAGATACGACTGGTAACTAACTCTTAGAAAAACAAGCAGCTAAGTCAAAAGATTTTGCGGGCGTCTACCGTTTATGGCCGGTTTCCTAACTTCGTTTAACTATTCGTTACTGTTATAGATCAACATAATAGATTCTAATGAATCGCTATTAATGATAAAATAGGTGGAAACTTCAGAAACCCAGCTTTAGCGTTTTATTGTATGTACTCCAGGTGGAGGATATCATAGTTCATCCGGAATACAACTCGTCATCGTACAGTCACGACCTCTCTATTATTCAAATGATCGAGTCTGTGCCGTACACGGACTACGTGCGGCCTGCCTGCATGTGGCCTGACGACCAGACCCAACTTAACAGCGTCATCGGAAAAAAGGGATCGGTGAGTACCAAATTTTACACCAGAAGGATGCAATGGCCTTAACAAAGGAATTCTAAGTGTTACTCAAGTCAACCAAAAAGTAGATAAAAAAGAAATCTTTTTCGATTGTCACGTATTGAAAAAACAACTAATACTTTATTTGTCAAACGTTAATTAAAATTATCCGGCTCAAAGGACCAATATAGAGTAAATACAACGCTAGAATCACAGGGAAAACATTCCGAACATTTGTAAAAATATTGGCGGGAAATTGTTAGCAATCAATTAGAAGCTTAATTAATTGGCTGAGTGGATATTGCGGATGCTGTAAGTTTATTTTGCGGTCGACTGGAGAGGGCGCGCTGTTTGCTTACGAAATTACACAAAAAGTTCAAGCTTTTTCAGTCGACTTTTATACAAAAGATAAAAAGAACAATATTAAAAATAACCGCTAATTTCGAATTCGCCAACATTTATAAAGCGTTCCATTTTTCGATAAAACTCGGCTATTCTATTGTACCGATTTTGTTTTAATGAATACTTAGATAATGTAAATCTAATATTGTGTTACTTCAAGGTTGTTGGTTGGGGCTTTGATGAGACGGGCGTGGCGACTGAGGAGCTGACTTTAGTAGAGATGCCGGTGGTAGACCAGGAAACCTGCATCAGATCCTATAGCGAATTCTTTGCGAGATTCACGTCGCAGTACACCTACTGTGCCGGCTACAGGGACGGTAAGCACTCAATTCTACCAAATAGCTATATATTTGTGCATATTCTATCCTTTGTTTAGTCCAAGTCATTTTCTCAAAACAAAAACAATGTTTTCACATCTTCTTGGACTTAAACGAAGTTAATCGATTACAAATCATTCATTAATTCCAGGGGCCCTTGATAAGAGAACCGGAACCCGAAAAAGTAGGTTTAATTATCTAATTTAAGTTAAACCTAAAAACCTAACAAAATTCGGATTCCTAATTTGAACCACATTTCTACGTGGAAGCTTTTATGACAAGCTACATAACGAAGCAATTTATATAACCGTAAAACAACTAACAGTTATGCTATAACGATTTAATAAAACTGATGTTTTAGTTAATATTAAACACTACAATAATTAATTTACGTCATTTCGTAGTTTAGATTAATGTATCAAAGAAATTATTATCGCTTCGTAACTTTTGATTCAAAAATGTATTACCTTGCTTAATATCAAAATAATTTTAACAGTGGTAGAGCCCGCTTTAACATCTTCGCACTGTAGGGCCGGCTCGCCCCCAGTAATACCACGACCACAAAGACAGGCCTGAAGTGAAAGCAATGCCGCGTAGTCTGATGAGTGTGGTGTCATAGGCTCAATTTTGGTCCCTTACCCTTCCCACCCTTATCCTTGTAAGAAACGGATGGCAAGGGAACGTGGATTTGACAGTGGAAGAGATTCATAGGAAGGGGAAACATCTTTGTACGTCTCCTCCGTCGCTTAAGGGTAGGCAATGCATTCGCTCTCGACATTCGCGAATATCTATGGACGGTCACTTCGCCAGTTTGATGGTCGATTGCTCGTTTCTTTAACCTACATAACAATGAAATGTTTACGCTTTACTACTATAGATAAATGAGGGTATAAAGAAATAAAACGCTTTTGTTGTATTAAATATTTTTAATTTGCAGGTACTTCCGTGTGTAACGGCGATAGTGGCGGCGGGATGGTGTTCGAGATGAACGGTTCGTGGTACTTACGTGGTCTCGTGTCGCTGTCCGTAGCGCGACAGAACGAGTACAGATGCGACCCCACGCACTACGTCGTATTCACGGACCTCGCCAAATTCCTACCTTGGATACGTCAGCATATAAATAATTTTTAATTTATTGCCAATAAACAATTATTTTTTACTCTGTCACGAAAGTGATGTCATCTGTCGTTTTTTGACATTTTTAATCTGTTATTAAAAAATATACCAGTAATGCTCTCTATTCGATCAATTTAATAAAAAAATGTATTAATAATTGCAACTAAACTATAGTATACTCGTTAAATGTACATCGCTTGATGTTTTTTTTTTATTTTTTAAGTGAAAAGTGTTTTTGTACAATGTCTGTGTCCCATGTTTTTTTTTCCTTTCTCAGTTCTTAATATGTGTACTTAAGCTATTTATATCAAAGCCTTTATGTAAATATATTGGTAACTTTCACTATTTATGTAAAGGTTATTGTCAAAACATAGGTGTATCTTATTTACTCCATTGCAATTTAATTCTAGAACAGATTCTAGATCTAAGAGTTAAAAAGGCAACAGTTAGTAGATAAAATCGAAAAAATGTAAAACTAAAACATTTAATAAAAATAATGTAAATTCAGAAACTGTGTGTAAAAATATTTTTATTTTGAAGTCAAATTTGTTTTTACTTTTTTTTTAATTCAACAAATTAAATTTTTTTTTATTTAAAATCAGACTATCATTTCAAAAACAATCGGAGAAAATTGATTCTACAGATTTTCCATATAATCGTTAAACAATTTTGTCTTGTTTAAAAAAAAACAATAAAAAAGAGACAAAAGCATATAAGTGATAAATTAAGACAAAATAAAAAACTTGTAATTGTGTTCTTCTATATATTAAAGTAACTTAAAACAACAAAAACTTATGTACAGTTAACTCGAAGCAAAAAACTAAAAACTCTCTTCATACACAAAATATACATTTCAATGAAAAACATAAATCAACTCATATTTCAGCCAATGGCAAGGGAAATAGAAATCTATTATACAAATAATAAAATGAAATCTGGCTAAAAGTTGACTAAGACTACAATTGTAAGAATAAAGAACGCATAAATACCATTTACTGTTTCAAATATTTACAACTTAAAAATAATACAATTAAATAAACGACTTCGTTCAAGAAATCTTCACAAACACACTGAACTCATATAAAAATTCCAACCAGTGGAATAGACACGTAAACATTCAGAAAGCATTTGGCAATTTTTGAAATGCAGTAGTTAAAAAAAAATAACCAAAAAGTTCAATCTATTAAAATTTGGTAAAGTCCCAAAACCATCTAAGATAATTTACTTACTTCCGAATAGCTTCTTTAAGTCATTCGATGTAAAAAAATCGATCAAAGAACAAGAAACCTAAACTTATAAATCAATCAGAATTAAACAGAATTCACCATTTAAATAACATCCAAAAACATCCATACACTGTGTACACAGTACACCACAAATATACACCAGTTCATAGCACATCTTTCAATCCACAAAACACCAAACATCACCAATATGGCCCCGTCCCATTCCTACATCTCTGACCCTTAAACCTATCTTCAGGGAAATTCGGTGCCCAGGGGAGGTTCCTCACTTGCCTCGGAGTCCTGGGGGTGTTTTTCTGAGGGTAGTTCGGGTACACCCTCGTATTAGCACAGGCGCCAGGTCTGCAGCCGTTTCTGGGGGTGTTAGGGTGGCTTCCGCCGAGGGGTGGGTTCTGGAATGTCTCCCATGGTTCAGGCACCATACAGTTCCCGCAACTCCACGAGAAGTCACCTGGATAATACAATAAGCATAAATAAAAATGCAGTTAAAAAAATAGGATATACGAGTAAATGAACGATATAATGAAAACCAAAAATCTCGAACTAAAAATATTTAAAAGCTAAAAACAATTTTTTAATAAATTGACATCATACTTTCAGACTATTACTATAAAATTATAAATGCGAAAGTTTAGATGGATGGATGGTTTTTAAAGTTTGTAGCCTAAACGGCTGAAAGGATTTCGATGAAATTTACAATGTAGACGATAGTCTGGAAGAACACATAGGCTACTCTATATTTTTTAAATCCACGCGAAAGGAGCGGCGGGCGATAGCTAATAATTTATAAACAAACCTATGTACCACTCGATTGCATGAAAACAAATCCAGTTACACGAATTAAAGTCAACAATTATTATATTAATATTTATTAGACTACCGTTTGGCCAACATTTGGAAGAAAACATTCGATCCCACGCGTCATATAGAATCACATTTATTGCATGAACAACGATAAAGGTCATCGCTCATTAGACAGAATCGGTTAGATCGACTTATCAAGTAGATGCCTAACATTGTAATGAGCGATTACTATAACAGATTAAAACATAAAACTACAATTCTTGTTTTAAAACGTTGTTTTTGATTTTTAAATACACTAATAACATTTTTAATACCATAGTATAGACAAACATAAGTGAAAATACAAGAATAATGATATTTCTGTTGCACATTTTACATTCATTTAATATATTTTATAATTCATAAGCTTAAAATTAATTTAAATATGACAAAAATATAGTGCTAAATGTACTTTATAATAGAATCTGAGATAGTTTTCGAATCATTTTAAATGAGTTTAAGTGTTAAAGATCTTAATAGTAAAAAAACTCGAAATCCCTTTCAAATTAGCTGCCTCTATCATTAATACTAAAAATAGTCTATAGACTTATTTATTACATAACTTGAGTACATAACTTCAACTCACTATCTTATATGTCATATGAGGTGTAACCTTTATTAAATAAAAAAATTAAGCTATGAAAATTGAGATCAAATTATATTTTCATTTATTCTTCATATAGAATAAACAGATGGTATAGAAATATAAGGGGTCATACACACGGGCGCTTTTTTAACGCATTGTGACGTCGGTTTTTTAACACCATCGTACATGCAGACTTATTCCGTTCGATTACGGCTTAAAATACAACAATACACGATTAAAAAGCATTGCGTTTTAAAAACGCTGTATGAACAGATACTTGGAATTATATTTGTTGCATTTAAACTATAAAACACGCTAAAAAATCTCCCGTGCGAATGAAAGAAAAAACGCTTTACAAACAAAACAATATCAAATATAAACTATCGAATATTACTTTCGATGTCACAATAACTGGATATAATTGTACTTTTAACTGGTTTGTGTTAATTTTTAACATCAGCACCTTGTCAATAGCGAAGTATTCAGAAATAACGATTAAAGCTTTACTTAAGAACGAGCCGTGCCTCTGAGAGCTGTTAACATATTAGGCACAAACTACGTAATCTACATCTAGCATTCTAGGCCTACAGTCACTTTAACGGGAAAATCCACTTAATTTTTCACCGTATTCACAATGAAATAGAGATCAATATTATATGACCGATTATCCCAATTAACTATCTAAATTCTCGAATTACAAGTCAATTTTAAAACTTTTTTAACTAACCTATGAAAGGGGAGAGTTGGCAAGGGTGTCTAGATGTATTTCCCTTTTATTACCTTTAATTGTAAATAAAAAAAACTGTACGGAAAATAGAATTAAAGTTATTAAAAAAAAATAAGGACAAAGAAACTTGTTATACCATAGACATTAAATTAAAAGCTTAAAAGTACAGTCAGCTGCACAAATATTGTACACGTTTAAAAAACGTTAAAAACTCGTATAAGGTTTCCAAAAAAATACTCAGTAACCATATATATCTTCTATTCATATTCTTGCATTAATATTGAAAACCTAAATTTTTTTTACAAGTTTAAATATATACATATTTATACAGCTGACTGTCAATACATCTATACATCCATCCAACGTGCAAGAGGAACACATAAGAGGAACAACTCTCGTTGACTCGGGAACAGAGCAACAACCGCATAATCACCACGAATATTGTCAACGTAACGACATGTAACGGACACGATGACGTCAAATAACTGCAAACTGCTAAAATAAACTTTATTATGGATAATTAAGGTCCATCAGACTCACGGAATACTTACCAAGGTAGCTTTAGTAAGCCTTAAAATCCGTTGCCGACATATGGGTAAGATTTTCGTAATAAAATTAATAATGGACCTTTGACTAAACTATCGCACAACTATTTAGTCTCGCATTATTCCTATGAGCTTCGATCGCAATCGACAATCGCACAACAGTTATGCGATTGTTCGGTCAAAGGTGTACCCGGTCTAAACATGGAGAAATAAATAACAGAACCTTAAATAAATTATGTTCGCATATGTGAAATCGATGTTGAAAATTCAAACTTGAAAATATTGAAAACGCCACCGTATTCGCTACGAGTCAATCTCTTTATACGAAAATACCCAAATTACAATAAAATAAACACGTCAATTACATATTTATAACAGTTTAACTTTCGCGAAGTTTCTAAAAAGAAAAACGAAAAACATTTTCTTTTTAACATATTACATACAAATTGAATAACTGCATAAGTTAAAAATACTTTACACAAAATAATGTAACGCCTCTACGATTTATAAATATAACATTTATGATCTATCTATAACATCTAAACATTAATTTATTTCAAAGAATATGTTAAACGAAATTATTTGCATTTTTACAATATCGTTTATAGACATTTTTTATTCTATTGAGCACACTGTGACAAAGATTATGCCAAACGTCGTCTAATCTATGACGAAAAAGGCGGGAAAAGTGACATTTATCAATTATCTATTTAACAAACGATGAAATGTCTTTGGATAGTAAAATGTGTTTCTGGCAACGAAACTTGATTGTGTTTATATTTTGAATCTTTTTCGTTAAAAATGTAAGTCTCCTTTAATATCTGTATGACGTAGACGAGTTTACCAAAGTCGAATAAATTGTAGGAAAGATTACAAATAACGCATTACTATTCTTTTTATATCGTTTTTCTCAGTCTATTTTATTAAATAGATTAAAAAGAATTACATAAGTAATTTCTTAACTGGCAACCCCATACATTAGATAAAATATTTATTATAACAATTACTTATTAATATCTTAAAATATAAGAAAAAGCAAGGATAGTAACAATGGACAGGGTACTAGTGGCAACGTAAAAATGAAATTTACACTTTTGGTGTTGAAGGAGTGTTGACTTAAAATGTTGCCAGAGAAAAGTCGATAGAAACTGCTATTTAAAAATCAAAACACTTAAATCTAAATAAATATTTCATCTACACTAATAATTTAAAATATATCAGTTTTTACAAAGTTAATTGACAATTGTCATCATAGGATAAAAACTAGTTCATGTTAACTGTGAAAAATAGTACGAAACTAGTTTTCATTCTATAACCTAGAAATATATAATCGAGTATTTCTACATCTATAGATCCAAATGCGCTGCAAATTATTGCTTTTAACACACGTCCCATAATTGCTAGGTACAGTCGTGACGTTTGTAGTGCGCCTTCCAACATTGGCAAGGCGACATCTTTAATAATTTTAGTCAGAACTATAAAAAATAGACAAGGAGCACAAATGGAACTATAGTTAACAACTCAATATCAGCATACGCTACAAATACCAAACGTTTGTATCAAATAAGTCATACTGCAAGAAGCTCTGCTAAAGGCGCGCGGGATACTACTTTAAAACAAACATTGCTAAAAACATTAAAAATGAATTAAAATACTATATATTTGTTTACTTAAATAATCGATTTAAAAAATATATTTACCAAACAATAATTTAGCAGGCAATGTGTTGCTAATTTAGATAACCTCTGGTAACCTGGTATACGAATGTCTACCAAAGAGATTATAAAATACATAGAAGAGGCATATTTGACATTTCACCACAAACCACATGTCAATACCATTAATTATATTTAATAGCCAATAAGTGTCATAAAATAATAAATAAATGTTTATATTTTGTACCACTGTTTAGTTTATTTTATAACAAAAGATGGAGCTTATAATATTATAAAATGTTTTATTACATGTCAATACCTTTCAAAGTACTGGTGAAAAATTTGCTCACTGCCTCGTCTATATTTTTAATCTCTCTGGTCTGCACTAAACCAACTAAAACCACAAACAAATACGAACTTTATCAACAAAATCCCGCAACACCAAAAGCGCCTATCCCTTAAATCTATCACTGTCAGTCCGCGCCTCATATCCTACTATCGGAGAGACGAAACTTCTTGCAGTAGAGTCCTTTTCAAAAGGGGCGATGGTGGTATGCGGGAAGGTGCGCCATGTCGCGGCGGTAGGC